CTCATATCATGTCTTTTGTTTGAATAAATTTATGAATGCAGATATCTCTATATTTCTCCTGACTAATATAATAACAATAATAAGTTCCCAGTAATAGATGGATGAGTACTGTACAAGTAAGTAAATGATATTAAGTAAAGAAAGAAACAAACAAACTCCTTTTAATTAATATAAAATGTACACACGAGTAAATAAAGTAAAAACTGCTTCTGCAAGATAAGAGGAGAAAGTAAACCACAGTCATGACGATGTCACCTGAAGTACGAAATTCCATAGAAAAGTTTCAAGGATACGTTTATGCTGGACTGAACAGATGCAAAGCTTATGACAGGTTTTGGGTCACTCAATGCTACCACTGCCAAAAATTGGGACACTTTGTTTCAGGATGTCCCAGGAAGCCTGGTTCTCCAGTTAGTGCCTTCTGTGCAGGCAGTCATATGTCTAGGACATGCTCAAATAAGACCTTATCCTGCTGTGCAAACTTGTTCCACTTTTACAGTACCACCCGAGTCAATCAGTCAGTCAGTCATTTTGCTTCAAGCAAAGATTGCCCTATGATGACATCCAAACAGAAAAAAAATATTGAAAACACTGACCGTATTTGTTCAAAAAATTTGTAGCACCCCCTTGAACCTATTAAAAGTAGGTCTGCTTAATATCCGTGTGACCGGAAGCAAAGTGTGTCACGTTAATGAGTTTCTGAGGGAGTTCAGCTTGGATATCCTGTGTAACTGAAACGTGGTTGTATGAAAGAGACGTCAACATTATTGGTAGTGCTCTTTCCAAGACATATTCTCTTGTTCATGTTCCTAGACCTGCTGCAGGAGTTCCAGGTGGCAGAATGGAGCTGATCTATTCTGTGATCCTGCTCAACTCCTTTGAATTTATGGAGGCATTAATAAATCTTGATCACAAAGTTATTAGAATTGCTATTGTGTATCAACCTGGTCACCCAGGTACAGAGAGAGAGTTCATGGATCAATTTGGCTTGTTTCTTGAGACTTTCTCAGGAAAGAACGGGCGACCGTTGATATGTGGTGACTTTAATTATTGAACTGACAACCCATCTCTGAAACCTTTTTCCTCCGAGTTCTTGGAAATTCTAGATTTAAAAAATTTTGTCAATTATGTCTCATGTCCAACACATCTTTCTGGACACACTCTAGACCTAGTTTTGTCTCCTGGTGACTGTGTTCGTGTATTAGATGTTGCAATTACCCCGATAGATCCAGCAGTCTCTGACCATGCTTTGGTTACTTTTGGTTCTAATGTCCCAAAACCTCCTGCTTACAGTATAACAATTACTTCAAGGAGCCATAGAAACATTGACCAGACCCTGATTGATCAGGAAGTCAAACATTCTTTGAACTGGGAAAACAACTCTGTTTTTTCGTCTTGAGGAGAAGGTTAAATTACATAATGATGTCTTCCAGTCCATTTCAAACTATTAATATCTAGAGGTCATGAAGAGAATTACAGTACGAGATAACTCATTGGTATGACTCATCTTAAATTCTCTTCGTAGGGATCGTAGAAGTGCTGAATAAGAATGGCGTAGGCGGCGAACAGACCATACTAAATCAGAGTACTGTATATGATTGCGCATAAGGCTGTTGTTAATTCAGTGAGGGCACGCAAAGTTGAAGACTACATAAGTCAAGATGCGTCTCGTGGCAGTGATAAAAATTTTTTTATACAGTTATGAATGGGCTGAGGTCTGGAACTATTATGCCTTCTTTCACTTCAGGATGCTCAGCTTGCCTCAGATTTGTCCTTGTTTTTTAGGGGTAAACAATATTTTGTGCTATATCAAGGACTCAAAGAAGACTTTTTGTTGTCTTGATCTTGTAAATGTATCTAAGGTAACACTCACTTATGAACATGTTGCAGACTTTATTTGTAGAATCATAAATAAATATTTTGCAGAGGGCAATTTTGTGCGATTCAAGAAATAGGCTTTATTGTGTCCACATTTAAGAAACCTGGTGTTGATACTAAAAATATGTCAAATTATTGTCCGGTCTCCAATCTCTCATTCTTGTCAAAGATCACGGAGCGTGCCAAATAGCGTACGGTGATATCTTATTGTAGTACAGTATTTCTTTTTATTCTCAAGTCTTTGACTTGTAGTGTTTCGAGCACTTGTGAATTCTTTAGAAGAACTAGTGCTCTTGAGAAACAAAAGATGAGCTATTATTATTAAATCATAAGTTAAATACTATTGTGTGATACATTACTGTTTTTGTTATATAAATATACTGTAGTTTGGTAACACAGAACTGTAATAAAAAACTAAACATTGTATAATACATACAGTACGACATTAAATTACAGTAACACATAGATATTGTACAAAAAAAAGTTATATACGTACTCCAGCTCCTTGCCCGGCTGGCTGGCTGGTCAGCTGTTCGTCTATGTAACATGTCACCAGGAACTTAATACAACACAATAACTCATCTTAGTTGAGTGTGAAATTTATTAACCAGGCACCAAATGTACCTAAATAATGTAGGAATTATGGTGAAATTACATAATTTCGTTCTTAACGGGGTCGGGATAACGGAAGCCTCCCAGAGGGGGAACTTTTGTGGAGTCGTTTCACCCTCAACCGTCACTACCTACTGTACTAACCTACTTATACTGTAATTCCTTTTCACTCATTATTTTTCTTATTTTATAGTTTTATATTATATTTTCTTTATTTCTAAGAAACACTTGAGCATTTTTTCTGGTTGAAATTGTGGGAGTGAAGGGGCTGAAAGGGCAAAAATGGGGGACTTCAGCACGAGAGCCAGAACGAACAAGTACCTTTAACATGCAAAAATATACAGGTATCCCCACATTTCGGAAACTCAGGTTGAGAAAATTCGCCCATATCGAGTCTGTGAATGATGATCACTGAATTCGGCCCACACCACTGGACTCCATTTGTTTATATCACCCAACATGTACATTTGATCCCTCAACCCCAGCTCTTCGGTTTAACACTTATATACATATCTTATTCAAGCTATCCAGTGTATTAACCTTACTCAAGATGAATGTAAAGAGGCCACCAAGAGCAGGCGAGAGCAGTAGCGCTAAAAGAGCACGTAAAGGAATTAAGCTGAATATAAAACTTGACTTTTTATGGAGCTTGAGGCAGAAGAAGAAACTTAGCCCCAGATTGCAAAGACATTACGGCTTGCTATGCCTCCCAATAATTCCCATCGCACCATCTCACCTCACACAGCACTCAGCATCGTTTGTGGCGAGTTAAATTTTAAGTACAGTATTTTATGTATTTATTATCATATTATATCATAAAATAATCAATGTATGAGTTTAAAAATGTTTATTAACATTCATAAGTGTGCTTGTATCACTTCTTTTTACCCAAAATGTTTCTTTAGAAATGCATCTCCAATTATATAATGGAAGTCAATGAGAAAATGGGGATCACATTACGGTCAACTTTTCAAGGACTCGTCCCTTCCCTAGAACAACGCAATCGCAAAACTCACAAGGCCGTATTAGTTTGGCAATCCATATAAAGGCAACGGCTTCCCACCAGCAGTGTCATCAATCAACTTCCTTCCAGTGAATGATTTTACAGCAACATATTATCTCATTAATAATAATAGTTGCCCCTCATGTAACGAGGATGGCCGGCCCAAGGGCCACCTAGGCGTGAATTTGTTTTAGGTGTAGAAGCTGTCGCCAACACAACAACCACACCATAAGTTAACGAGCTGCATGACCCAGTGCCAAGAAATAGTCCGAGAAGACAGGACAACTCGCGAACTACACTGGCTAACCATTACCCCAGAACACGATCCGCAAATCGATTAACATCCAGGTTCCCAATTACTGCTGGGTAGACAGAGGCAAATGGCGTAAAGAAACTTGCCCATAGTTTCACCCTGCCCGGGGATCAAACCCGAGTCCGCTCGCTTGCGAGGCGAACATGCTGACCATTACACCACAGGTCATCCTGTTATATGATTACTTACTGTATGTAAGATTCACCAAATAAACAACTACCTATCCTATTAGAGAAATATATTATTTTTATTAATCAAAGTTAAGTTACATAGATTAGGTTACTTTAGGTAGATTCATATGAAAAGGAAGTTAGGCTGGTTGCTGGCTTGGAACTGTTCCACTGCTACTGTTTGAGGTTGGTCGATCAGTGGGAAGTGTTTGTCAACAGTCAGAGGCTACACAAAGATGGCATTGTCAAGAAGACAACAGGTTTACTCTTGAAGCAAGATGTAATTTTTTTTCTACAGATACCTTTTGTTAGGCAGTTAGTGGGTAAACCCTGACCCTTGTCCTTAACTATTACCCAAATTTCAAACCAATTATGTCACAGACCGACAATTTTTTAAACTGGACTCCTGTGAATTCAGCGAGACACGTGGAAATTTTAGTCCAGTGGTCCTGAATTCCAAAATTTTAGGTTATTAAATGAACTAGCATGAGGTCCTGTTTGAACAATGTCCCATTTGTTGAACACAGTTACATACTAGATAAAACAAATAAATGATTCAGTTAATAACCTTGCAAGCTTTTCAAACTCATTCTTTTACGTTACCACTTACAAGCTCTACTGCTGGTTTTATTATCCAACGAGTCACTCATTTCTGTCCTTTTCTATTCAAAGGAATTAAGGCTGGTAAAAGACCCAATTTAACTGTCCAAGAATGCAGACTAGGCATTGAGGCTTACCATACAACACTTAAAATAATACCTCACTTATCAACACTTACCTTCATTACCTGTGCTGTCTGCCACCACACAGCCAGGTTATATCTTCACGATCACATCCATACTGACAGAGATTTGTAAATACATCGATACTTATCATGAAGACAAAAAAATTTTCAAAATTTTTTAACTGTCGTGCAAGTGATGCATAAATAAAGAACAGATAAGTATGCAGATGCTTCACCTTAACCCAGAATATTTAGTGCCATGAATAATAATTCAGTAAAAATTAAAAAAGAAAAACTTACCAACTTCATAATCATCTTCCACCATTGACTGCCAGATCCGGTGAATGGAATAATCCCGATTAAGTACAGATTTCAGGAACACTTGTGCATCAAAGCTCACATAAATTTCACCTCCACCTGTAAATCCAAATACTCCATTAAGCTTCTTTATTAATACACATCAGTGCAGTAACAGTTTCATATTCTCCTGAGATTTTTGTTCCTTTTTTTGGGGGGGAGAATATACAGTTTAAATTATGTACCTTATACATAAACCTTGGCTAACCCTCACAAGCATGGAAAATGGCAGTAAAGCATTGATGAACATAAATTAAACTTGAGGAGTGTTTGTTCCAACATCACTGTGTGGCTATGATGCTAAAAGTTCCCAACATCACTACATCACTATGTGGCTATGATGCTAAAAGTTCCCAACATCACTATGTGGTTATGATGCTACAAGATCCCAACATCACTATGTGGCTATGATGCTACAAGATCCCAACATCACTATGTGGCTATGATGCTACAAGATCCCAACATCACTAGTATGTGGCTATGATGCTACAAGACGCCAATATAAAGACACGAGTAGAACAAATGAATATCTCATACAGGATGTTACGAGTGTCCGCCATAAGTTTCTGTTCTTGTTATGAAATACTTTGATTCAGATGGTGTGTGGTTAGCTCGAGCAGTTCCGCTAATTACTCATCCACACTGAATGATTCGTCATTTAAGTATTAACTTTGTTTATTACATTGTGTATTTATTGTATTATGTTTGAGTATATTATATTTTATTGTATTATTGTATATAGGTTAGATAAGTGTAGGTAATTTAGATAAAGTTTATATTTTGGCCAATCAGGATATAGTACGTTAGTATTTGGCGGTAGAGAGGTGACGTCGGTGACCTACTGGTACACTCTAGTCAGTCTTGGGAGTTGGCATTTGACAATTGAGATTTGTTTTGCTTGATATTGATTTTGTGTGATCTTGTTGGACCTTTACTCAGCCACTTCCAAACATCATATCATTATTGTTATTTATTTTATTTTGTCTACATATGTGGTGGTGGGAATAAGTTAATAAATGTTCATATTTTTTTTTTATTTGTTAAGGTTTTGACCTGTTAACTTGACCTTTGTTGGGAGAATTTGGGATTAAGAATATAATAATAATTACCGACATATTTGAAAGACTTAAGTAGTTTGTGTTTATGTAACGAACTACCCAAGGGTCATAACACAGCGTTACAGGAGTCTTCATACTTCCTTTGATTTATAGGAGCTTGTTTATACGGCAGATTCTGAGGAAGAACATTTCCTGGAACACGGCCCTTAATCTAACCTCTACAACAACCTCATATACCAGGAAAGGAATGGTAAAAATCTAAATCTATATCAAAGGAGCTGAACTGGAGTCAAAAATGGGAATCTTGTTTGGTGTTTCCCTTTTAACCACCTGTGTACAGGGCCCCCTCTCTCTGGCATTAGCCAAATGAAGTATTAAAAGTGGCATCCCCAGGCTCTAGAAGAACAACTCCAGCCATTTTAACTAGTGCACAAACTGTTCAGAAGAGGAAAAAGTTTACAGGAAATAGATAAAATCTGACTTAAAGGGAGAGAGAAAATACTGTATTGTTTTTCTTGGCTAATGTAGACAACAAGAATCTTTCCCTTAGGCCCCGGGTGACGTTCCAGAATGTCCGACTAGCGCGCCCCGGGTGACGTTCCAGAACGTCCGCCTATTTTCCCACCATGTTTTTTTATTAATTTTGGAAATGTTGATTTTTGTTCTCGATTTAACCCCGAGTGGGGGTATTGCCAGCAGCACCCTAACCCGGAGCTTAAGGGTTAAACAAAATCAGGAGAAGTCACCACAAGAGCAGATTTGTAGTACTGTATTAACTAAATACAGTACAAGTACTGTAGTGCCATTTACAGATCCACTTGGCAGTGCATCATGGTCTTTGCTATCATCAACTTTCATACTTGGTGAATTTTGAGTCATATCTCCAATTTTTTTCAGAGAATACTTGTACAGTATTACCCCGCCTAACGCGGTTTCACTTAACGCGTTTTTTCATATACGCGGTGCCTCACCAGAAGCGAACTTTCACTTAACACGGATTTTTTCCACATATACGCGGTGAGTGTCCGGCTCGACTCGAGACGCTATTTTTAGATTTTGCCCCACCCGCCACCCTGCCTGACTGCCTGTTTTAGCTCATAAAATTCATACAAATTACCCGGCCAGAATATAATTTACATTGCTGGAATTCTTATAATTTGGTGATCATTTTGAATATAAACATCATATATTTTGCATTAGACATACAAATTTTAGATAAAATGTTTTCTCTGAGTAAATATGTTATCTTTTGTGCAAAATATATAACATTTATATTCAAAATATTCCTGGTCTTACAAGGAATCCAGCAATGTCAATTATATTATCCTAACTTTAATCTGAGGTATTATTTAATACAAAATGTTAAAATTTATTTTTTTCACCCACTCTTTCTCTTGAAGGGAGGATTGGTGGGGGGTGGGGGGGAGGGTTGGGACTGACCGCGCGGTTGGAAGAGGGGGGGAGGCAAGGTGGGGTACTTTGATTGACAGATAGTGTCGTGAAGAATATTTTTTTTTTTTTATTAACTGAAGATATTTGTTTTAGCTCATAAAATTCATACAAATTACCCGGTCAGAATATAATTTACATTGCTGGAATTCTTATAATTTGATGATCATTTTGAATATAAACATCATATATTTTGCATTAGACATACAAATTTTAGATAAAATGTTTTCTCTGAGTAAATATGTTATCTTTTGTGCAAAATATATGACATTTATATTCAAAATATTCCTGGTCTTACAAGGAATCCAGCAATGTCAATTGTATTATCCTAACTTTAGTTTGAGGTATTATTTATTAAAATTTAGTGGTTTTCCCCCAAAAATTTCTCAGAGAGGGAAGAGCCAGCAGTGTAGTGTGAGAAGAGGGGGAGGGAGTCGAGTCCATTATTTGAATGGACATTAACTTGGCGACTGTATTTCTCTATTTCTCTTAAGTATTAATTGTGTGCATGTACCATCATAAAATTAAGATGTTATTTTTACTACAACATAGTTATGTGTCTTCAAAAAGTGGAGTTTGGGGGTCAGGCTGGTTTCTATTGGAGTTAATCCCATTTGTTCTGTTGTTCACTTAACGCGGGACCCTCTGGGTTCTATTGACCGCGTTAAGTGGGGTACAACTGTATATTCATTCTGCTGTTGACATCTATCTTTTATGGTTTCCTTAACTCAGCTGCTGAAGGAAGGAGATGAGGGTAAAGAAAAGAGAGGAGACAAGTTACTACAGTAGTGATCATAGGTAAGGAGAATTGTTTTCTCTCATACCACACCCCTGCCTTCCTTGAGACTATGTATGTGGTCATGAATTAACAGAATTATTCCTGATATAGGATCCTGCTCCCCAAATAAATTTCTCTTTCTATAAATATTCCTGAAAATTACTGTAATTAATCTCTACACCAAAATAATGTTGTCATACAGTTTAAACTGCAACATTCATCATATGATGCCAAGATTTTCACCCCAATGTTTTAAAATTGTGCACCAAGATTTGCTTCACATCTTACGGTAGGCCTCCTCACACTACACATGCATCACCAGGCCTACAGTTGCCTTTCAGTCATTATGGAAGAAGCACACTCATTGCTGTCAATGGCAGTCTGCCCCCAAGAATATTCTCAAGTTTTGCCCCATAATTAACCATGAAAGCCTCAGCTCCCTTGAAAAGTTTCTTAAATTTCAAACACTGAAATAAAGGAGACATCAAATGCCTTCTTTGTGGCTGATGTGTGGTGCAGACCATGATGTCTCAAGACTATCAACCCTGTCAGGTGAATTATCAGTCTGTGTGGAGCATCACCTCTAGGGTATTTCAGATCACTGTACGAGTCCTAAGAACTTCACTTACACACTGGTACACATCCAGTCCCATGATCTGGGAGCTCATGGAATACTTTGGACAGTCCAAATCCCTGATCAATGGTTACTCAAATCAGTTTACCAATCAACCTAAATTGAGAATTCCCTTGAATAATAACATAAGTATGACTACTGCTATAATTTGCCAAAAAGGTATTAAGTTATAACAAAATATATCTACATCATATAGTTTCCTTTAAAAGCTAAACAAAAAATACAGGGCAAAGCCGAGCTCTGCCACCACTTCTGGTCAAGGTGACAGCAGCCAGACTGAACAGTGAGAGGACAGTGAAAACAGAAGTCTGGTTTGTTTATATTTTCTATGAATGGAGCAGAACAGAGGTACAGCCTTTCAAGGAGGGTCTAACTTGGTACAGTACAAGTGATTTTGTAGTCTTATATTTCAACAATTATTACTCTCAGACACCTTCTTTTAGAACTGAGGTGTCCAGCTCTGAGAGGGAGATAATTACAATTCTGAGACAGTGTAGGTGCATTATTCCATTAAGTAAAGTTCAATAACCTGAATGCAAAGGAACTTCTTGAGCTAAATGCTTTATAGTTTTTCACTTTATGCTTTATTTCTGTGAAGACAAACGTACATCTGCCATCAGCCTTCTGCAGGTGGGGAAACAGACTTTCTCCACATAATATGGTTACTGTATATTTCTAATAATCACTGTTACCAGCACACCTCTAACATTCAATCCTGAAATGTCTTTTCTAACACTTACCTCTACAATCAAATCCAGTGTAGTCACAGCCAGCCACAAGTTCAATGAACATCCAGGTCTTGGGTGCAAATTCCACACGTGCTACAAGCTCATAGTCGCGCTGCTCCACTTCATCATCTTGAAATTTTATGTGATACAGACGATCTACTTTTTCAAGATCAATCTTGAGTTTTTGTAGGTCCTCCTATAAGTTGAAGTAATGTAACATTCAAAGAACAATTGCATACCCAGGGTGGAGGGGGTGGGAGGTTACAATGGGTTTGATGGTTGGGGGGGTTTTGGAACTTAAACGCTGCTCAGTGATCTGTGATCTTCCCAACCCATCTGCCCTTTGCAGTGAAATAATAATGTGGAAAAACAAAATGGAAAGGAAGTTTGACACGTGACAGACCAGCCGCTGCTATTGCTGCAACCAAGGCATGTTCACAACTCCTTAATGTTTAACAACTACTGCAATTGCTAACAACTGTTCCTGTGATGAGCTGCTGACTGTGGCAGCCATACTCAGCACTCAGGAAGATAAAATGGACACGAGATCTACAATGAGTGAAGAACATCTGGAGAGGTCGACATTGACGGAAATTCATAATAATATTACTATAGAAGTTGATAGTGTGATTGATGATTTTTCTGGGCATATAAATTTTTGTCTTTTCATGCTTTAACTTTTGTGTCTGCATTTTTTTATTCATATCTTACCATCAGTTCTGCTGTTAAATTACGACTGATTATTTGAGCAGCCTTTATAGTGCCGGTTTTACCCAATGTTTTTTAATTGTAGATTCATTACCCATTATTATTCTGTTCCTGTTTTTGAATTTAATATTTTTACCAATTGCAATATGTTTACCTTTTCTAATTTAATAACTGCCAACCATATATACTCCCCATGTCAATTATAATTAGATACTGTACTGTATTATTTACTTGGAGCCTAGAGAGTATGCAAAAAATAAAAGTACATATAATAGTATTGATGTTTCAGTGTGGCCCCCAGTGGTGGTACATGGGTATGCAGTGTGTACCTACTTCTCAATTTATGCTCCTTTATAATTTTTTTTGTTCAACTAAAAACTTATTCAAAATATTTATTTTAATAGCAACATGTAATCTAAATGTAATATTGTTGAAAGCCAGCTACAAATAAAATGTTTATTATTATTATTATTATATATAAGTACAGGGGGTACCCGAGTTACGAACGGGTTCCGTTCCTGAAGACGTTCTTATGTCGGATTTGTATGTAAGTAGGAACACATGCTATGTGCAGACGTACTTACAGAACAATGTTTAAAATCCCACTATATTATAGCCTAAGTCCTTATATACATATAAAATGATTTAATTTAAAACAAATGAAGAAATAGGATGACAAAATACAGTAAATGAAATTAAAAAATAAGTCATCAGGTAAATAGAATACAGTACTGTACTGTACTATAAATTTTAAGTTTAACCTCGTTCGTATCGCAGGCGTTCGTAAGTCAGGGACCTCCTGCAATTCATCGTATCAGATAAAGTATTAAATATTGACCCTAGGATATTTCCAAATAACCAGTTCATATAGTCACAAGATTTCCCCAGCTGTAAGGGCTTGCTGCACTCGCCTAACCCATTTCCACCACTGATGACCCCCCACTGAGATCCTGGGTACGCCCCTATCTTAGAACACGAATCCATTTAATAAAACGCAGTCATTAAAAGCTACCCCCATAACATTCATCTTAAACAACAAACAGCTTTACATGAATAAGTGGTCTCTACACTTTATTTTACTCTTTATAAAGTGCTCATTATTATCCGTTGCTTTATAAGTTTGGTGTCATTTATCTTGATACAGGTATACATAATAATTAATGAAACGAGAAGAAGTAATGATGAATGTGTTCTCAGAAAACGTGAATTTGTTTGTGACTGACGTTAAATTTTCTTTATTTCAAACTTTTTTCCAATCATATCTTGAATGTTAATGTGTTCAAGTAGTTTTATCTTTACATACATTATATTCAGCATTAGAGTGAGTCTGAACTGGGTATCCTGAACAGTTTTATATGGATTTATTTGCAATATATCAATAATAATCAAACTTATGTATGAGCCAAGGAGCTGCAAGGGGGTGGGGCTTGTACTGTCAGCTAAAAAAAAGAAAAAAAAAAAAAACATAGTACAGTAACAATTAGCCACATCCTCACATATTATACTAAAAATTCTTAGCTCCTTCAGTTAAGAAGGACCAGAAAATGTCTTTCATAAACTTACAACAGAAATAGGAGTTAAACTATTCAAATACAGTGACCCCTCGTTTAACGAACGCCTCGGTTAACGAAATTTCGGTTAACGAACTGCCTTCCATAAGGATCTTCAATTCGGTTAACGAACAAAAATTCGGTTAACGAATTTCTTACGAACCGACCTCAACATGTTTTCGCTTGCACTGACCGGGCAACCAGCTTTAGTATCAGTCCGCCAATACATTAATCGGTTCTAGGGCTTAAATTCCTTACTATTTTAGTAAATATCAAGAAGTTTATACTATTCAATAATTTTAAAAGTTTAATATTCAATTTTTTAGTCATTTTAACAATTATTGAACATAATTGAAGGTAAAGTGACTAGTTTAATGCGCGGCATCCAGCCTCTTAACACAGCAAACAGGCGTTAGTCTCTCTCTGTTTTCACTGGAGGTAACATCTTGCTTGAGACTCTCTTCAACTAAACACTTTTTTTCTGTGTTTCCAAGCAAATTATTGGTCATTTTGAAATATATTTTACATATTGACAATATATAATGCAGTGCAGTGTTGATTTAAAGAAAATAATCTTGAATTACACCAGAGAGCTAAAATTTTATGGGTGAAATGGCACCATGGGGTGACTTCTCTTCCACCCCAATGCCTTCTCTTCTTCCTTCTCCTCCACCCCCATTCTAATTCCCATCATCATCATCATCCAGGAGCCTTCTACATACACACCTCAAAGTAAGTGAACTTTTCTACCATTTTTGTTGAATTTAGGAAATTTTCGGTGAGCTGGAACCAATTACCCAAAAACCCATTGAAACAATGGTTTCGGTTAACGAACTTTTCGGTTAACGAACGACCTTCTGGAACGGATTGAGTTCGTTAACCGAGGGGTCACTGTATTAATATACTGTACTGTACTGTAAATTTAACCTGCAAAACTCTGCAAATCCCATTTTGTTATTGACAAGTATGTATCACAATGTACAAACCTGCTCCCATTTGTGCATCTCCCAGGGTGAGGTTCTGTGATCAAACATGTCTTGATAAGACAATGCTGTGCCAATCATGTTCTCCATCTCTTCAGCAGTCTGTACACCATTCACCAAACTCTTCAGATTTGGGTGAGTCTTCATCTCCTGATTCTTCTCCTGCAAAATAAACCAAACTTGGCTCAGTTAAACTCAGTACTGTACAGCAGGTCTTGATAGTCCAGACCCCAACCCCAACCATCCAAGACTCCATCAGCCAGATTATTTTAAATGGCTAGCCAGCAAGTCTACTGAACTGTGTCAGCATCTGCTATTACTGTACAGGTTGGACCCCGTTAATCCAGGACCTGATAGTCCGGCAGCTTCGATGGTTCAGGATGTGTCATAGCTCACTTCTTGTGGCTGCTGCCACTATTTTACCTTTAAATACTTATAATGTACCACTAAATATGCATCCTAAGAGTCCAGCAAGCAGTGGAAGTGGTTGTAATGCAGTGAAAAGTAAGCAAGCGACTTTAACTATTTTAGAAAAGGTGTCTATACTGAAGAAATTAGACAGTGGTACATCAGTCAAGGCCTTGTGTGCCTTTTTTAAACCTCGGCTTCGATGGTTCGTAATTTTAAATAATCCAGAACCGGTCTGGTCCCAAGCTTCCCATATTAACGAGGTCCAACCTGTACTTGGATCTAGTGCCCGAGTGTTTGTGCTCGCTTTATTTTCAAATACTGTACAGGTACAGTAAAGTGAACATTTTCATGCCGAAACCATCTGTGAGTGGAAATCCATTAAAAAGGAAACATATTTCCTTAACGATTAATCAGAAGATCAATATTATAAACAAATTTTAAAGTGTGAAGCAAAATAAATTATGGAGGATTGTGGTATGGGGACTGGTTACAGTACTGTACTTGATATGGTAATGACCTCACAACCACTAACTCATAAGCTGATGTTTGCAGAATAAAGCAGTTTTTCATGCTGAACACATAGGTGATATTGAAAATTTGGGAATTTCCATATTACTGTACTTGAGTTAATACCCTTCTTACCCTGTCAATCTTGATCCACCAAGGTGGTCTGGCCTTAGAAGCAAAGGGAAAATGTGGGGCTAAAAACAAAACTAAAACCTAACCTGGCCAAGGGAGATAATTATTCTGCAAACACTTTGGTGTTTGCCAAACAACAGTCGATGATACAAACAAATAAAAAGATAAAGGAGACCTTTCATAGTCAATACTAAAAGTGGTGACACTAAAAAGTGTATTAAAGACACTAAATTTAATCAGATGGACGAAGTTTAGGTTTTTCTTTTTTTGTTTTCCCACGGGAGGTGTCCCTCATATTTCGTAAAATCTCATAATTCTTAAGGGCTAGAGCTCCTATAATTTTAAATTATGGGGGTTTTACTGTAGCACCAAAATTTCTGGAGATGCTATTTGTGTGATACTAAACAAGAAAATGAAAACAACAATGCACAGAACCTAACCTATCCAGCAAACCTTACCAAACTTCCTAACGGACCCCCTGGCATATTAAGCAGAAAGAACTGACTTTCATATGAGATACCAATTAAAACACTTTTCTTGAAACTGCATTATGTAATTTTACATCTTTCTGCTCATAAGAGTACGATTGGTCGTTGCACTGAAGCACATATTTCTTGTTCAGTCAATTCTCTGGTGCATTTTGAACACTTGCACAAACTCCCAAGTACAGTACAATACGGTACTGTAGTCTATGTTGACATATGAATTCTTGGAGACAGTCTTCAACCTCTACAAGCACAGATAACTTTTGAGATGACATGGAACACTTACTCAGGGTGTGGATTGAGGACCAGACCAAGCAAAATGTACCCATTAACACCATGATAATTCAGTAAAAGGATAAGAGTCTGTATGCAAATTTTAAACCAGGAACAAGGTGCTAGCTCTGATGAAAAACCCTTTAATGCCAGCAAAGAGAGGTTTGAGTGTTTTAAGAAACACTCAAACCTAAACAACATTAAGATGGTAGGTGAAGCAGCCAGTGCTGATACAGTACTGAGTCTGCTAATAATTATCCAGCAATACTAAAGGCAATCAATAAGGCTGATGGATACACTCAACAAGTGTGCAATGTTGATGAAACAGGCCTCTTTTGGAAGCACAAGCCCGCCAAGACATTTATTTCAATTGAGGAGGAAAAAGCTCCTGGGTATAGAGCTTCCAAAGATCGTGTAGCGTTCCTGGTGCCCAAGAACACAACTTCTTTGCTACTGTCTATGGATCAAGGTAAGATTAATATTTATGCAGGACTTTTAGACAACTTATAGCTCAATTGATGATGAAGATCAGCAATCAGTCTGAGATTTCTGGAAGAGTTTAACATCATGAATGTTGTAGAAAACATTGCTGAGTCATGGGATGAAGTCAAATGTACAACTATGAATGGTGTGTGGAAGAATATCTGGCCAGAATGTGTCCATGATTTCCAAGGTTTTCCTCAGGTTCAGACCTTGGATCAGGTGCAGCAGGAAATTGTAACTCTAGCAAATGGTGCAGGGTTCGAGGAAGTGGATTAGGATGGTGTGGTTGATCTATTACAGTCACACAGAGACCATTAGTCCAATGAGGAACTTGTTAATGGAATAGGAGTGAGGTGTTGGTGAGGAACAGGAGGATACCTGTACAGAAGTTCAATCTACAGCCCGTGAATTGACAACAAAAGTTTTGTCTAAAGTGCTTAGTCAACTGCAAGATGTGATGTAAACCACTGAGACACAATCCAGATCATGAACACAGCCTCAAGTTTGCAAGAGAATTGGAGTACACAATGAAGGGCGATAAGGAGCTGTACACTGAAAAATTGTACTGTCAACAACAGACCACATTGGACAAGTTCTTTGCCCCAAGACCACAGCCAGCAGTCAAAGATGATGATGATGATCCACAAGAGAGAGGCAGGAGTCAGTAGTGACCCACTGTCTCCCTCCCAGTTCAGGTTAAAATTATAAATAGCAACTTTTTAACATATTTGCACAAACTAACACAGTGTCCACACTAAAACAAAGTGAAATTGCGACTTTTTAAAATAATTTTCTATGAAAAATCGCTGGTGGATCAGTTCGCTAATACATTAATTATCAAATTACAACATACTATAGCAAGTTCTTTCTGTTAATATGCTGGGGCGTCCAGAGGGTGAAGCCCCAAGGCTAATAAGATAGATAAGTTTAGGTAGGAGTCTTTGGTTAGGTTGATGCATCTTCAACAACGCTTCTGCAGCTTGTTTTTCTTTTCAACTTAGGTTAAGTTAGGCTTAATTTAAAAACAACTACTTTTTAAAGACAATTACCCAAACTACAATAGTGTCCACTACATAATGCGGTGAAATTGCAGCATTTCTAAAATAATTTTCAATGAAAAATCGCCAGAAGGTATCTCATCAATAATTAGCTTGTCCAGTTATTGGTTAGGTAAGTTTGGTAATACTGAAGCAGAGGGCTAATACCAGAAGGAGTTGTTCGATTTCAGTAATTTTTTTCAGATATTATCATTATTACATACAAAGTATTTTAAAAAAGCCCGCATTTTCTAAAACCTAACAGAACCTGACCTAACAAACCAAAAAACCCACCTAACCTTACCTACCTTCATAACCAAGGAGCTCCACCCCCTATATTTCTGTCATATTAAAAAGAAAATACTTATTTTAGAAATATTGCAGTAAACAGCAACCATAAAAATCCTGAAATTCACTCCACTCAATCGGTATAACTATTTTACTATGATCAATTTCATATATTACATTTGGTTAGGTTAGGTAACACATTTTTTTTATCAGATTCTTTGGTTGCTGTAATCTGCAATTTTACCCTTATTTTGATATCTGGTACCAATGAAAGGGGGGGGGGGTAATATTCGTTTAATGGCTGCAGCAAGACTTTCATATTTGGTTATTCTCGTATTAAAAAAAACGAATATATTTCTTTTCTTGGGCAAATTAGTATGCATGGAGATAAGTAAAAACGTTACCAGAAATAAATCAAGTCAGCTGATGTTCTTCCCACAGCCAGTCACCCACTCTCAGACAATGTCTTATCCTCCGGTGACATGGCTTGGAGCATGAGAGCTGAGTCTACGGTGTGTATCCACTGTGACGTGACAAAGCTTGGAGCATGGGAACTGAGTCTACGGTGTGTATCCACTGTGACGTGACAAAGCTTGGAGCATGGGAACTGAGTCTACGGTGTGTATCCACTGTGACGTGACAAAGCTTGGAGCATGGGAACTGAGTCTACGGTGTGTATCCACTGTGACGTGACAAAGCTTGGAGCATGGGAACTGAGTCTACGGTGTGTATCCACTGTGACGTGACAAGGCTTGGAGCATGGGAACTGAGTCTACGGTGTGTATCCACTGTGACGTGACAAGGCTTGGAATATGTGCACCGAGTTTCCAACGGCTTTTATTTTTCAAACTGCACACACATTAGGTTTGGTTGGTTTGGTTTCAACAGTGATTTGGGAGTTGAAATTGTTATGAGAATAGTTTTTTTTTGTGTATTTAGGTGTGTTTTATTATAATCCGACCTTCATTTCTTGGGAAAATTAGTAAATTTTGTCAAAAAATAAAGAGAAATTTTTATTTTTCACAAAATTCGCTCATTTGCCCAACAAGAGAAGGTCAGATTTAAGTACACAAAAAAAAAACCTATTATCATAACAAAAAGGAGCCAAAGCCACTAAACGAATATTTACCCCGGACAAATATCCACAGCCAAATAATAAACCTTGGTAATACTAAAGCTCTCTTGCAGTAGTAATAGTCAGACAAGAACACTTATGTAACAACTTAACATTTAGCTTATAGTCTTGTCAGCTGTTATCTCAGCTGTATGTTAGGTAAGGTACTATATAATTTAGTATTTGCCAGTACTGTTCATCAATGCCAGGATACAGTAAGTCCTACGATAAGTTTGACAAATTTTGTACCTCGTACCCAATGTTTAAAATACAAGTACAGTAGACTTACCCGGACACTGTCATGTGGCTCTATTAGCTGCCCCTAATGTACTGGTCTTTGGTCATTGATTCAGCCTTATATATACCGACTGTTACATACACGTCTTCATCGTGATGCGGTTCAGTTACTTTGCTGCCTCGGTTTAACGAGAACGAGAATCTGTACGTATTTTCAAACTTCACTTCCAAACATGACTAAGCTGACTAAGCTCCGTTCAGTCTGTTTGAAAATATTCAGAGTTAAGTCAGCCTGTCGTGACGCCCACCACCAGCTCTTAATGTATTATTGAACAACTTTTTTTCTGATCAGGTCCACGTATGATATACAAATGAACAGAAACATAAGGAATGGTAGTATGGCCTAAGGGTAAGTTAGGTACTTGGTATGGTCCAGTTTCTAAAGACAGTTACAGAGACAACAGCTGTCATAGGGGGGTACGTATTTGTAGGAGTCAGATTCGTTTTGGCTACAAACTTACACCAAGGAAAATAATAAAAAAATAGGTTTTCCTATGTATTTTCTTTTGTTTCAAAGGAATCTGGCCTTCATTTCCGTCGGAAAAGATGCGCTATGGAGATACCAACAATCATGGTTGTTCAAAGTGGGCAGCTCGCTGGTGCTTATATAATTTTCGTCAGACGCCTAGAGCACTCTAGCACTAGCACCATCAAGTGTTGCAGGAACGAGATATGCCTAAAAGGTGCGGCTAACGGCAAACAAGCTGATCAGCGAGTTTTTTTTTTACGGGGATTAGCCTGTAGTGGATTTCTCTCCTACAAACGCTGTTTGTCGCTGAGTAACCGACCCCGCGAATTCCACATTTTTTTTTTTTTTTTTTTTTTATTGGGCACTCCCTACATCCTTGTGTAAGGTGAAGCGCAGAAGCGTTTACAGTGCCCAACAGGGAAGCATGCTAAGTTCATGCTTGCCTTTATGTCCCATGAGTTAAGGACGTAGAAGCCTGAAGAGTCAGTGGTTTGTGTCATCAAGTTATTGGAAGCTCCAACAACTTGTCCCTGAATACGAATTCGCAACTTTCGACTTACAACAGGTACCTACTTTACTGCTAGGTGAACAGGGACTAATGGGGGCTAAGAAGTGTGTCCAAACAACTTCCACCGGCCCGGGAATCGAACCCGTGACATCTCGCTTGCGAAGGCAAGAGCGGTACCACTCTACCACCAGCACCCCCGAATTCCCCAGTGTGTGCCTCGTGGTCTAGGTCAACCAGCGCCGCCATACATCACGGAGGTCAACTACTAACCCACGCCTACCCCCGCTATTTAAGACCTGACCTCGTGGTGATCTCTCTCTACCTACACCAACCAGCCAGCAACACCTCCTCCGCCTGCCTGGCGGTCCTCGCTCCCGCCGGCGAGCATGGCGACCCACAAGCTGTCCTCCTCTGAGCATCCTCACCAACCAGCTCTCTCTACATCACGCTTGTAACCATGCTGCCTTCCCAGCACCAAGCTGCATTGTACATCCAATACAACATGTATATAGAGAGCACATTGTGACTTTCCTTTCTCCATCCCATCCTGAGTGTGAGCCAAACATCCCAAAAACCCCACAATTGGTGACTCCCGGAGATTCGCACTCACTTAGGATGGAGGAGAAACTGATCACGCTCCCAGTCTTCAAGCAACATGGAAGACTGGCTTATCCACACAGAAGCAGCTCTCATCGGCTCTACAACTACTGCCTCTGCACCGCAGGTTAGACACCCTAGAGCAGCACTGTTTCTCTAAGCAGACACCAGCTCCCCTTCCTGCCCCAAGCACCACGTCCTACCGACCCCAGCACACCAGTCCTGCCTCAGACGCCGACCCCGGCCCAGCAGTACCCCCTGCCGCTTCTCCTGACGCGGCCCCTGTTCCTGAGTGCGGACCCACACACCCCTCTTTTCTCCCTCATGTACTCCCTGCTAATGTCCTGAACCCTGCTGCTGTCGTGGACCCAGCTGCTGTCACGAGCCCTCATCCGCTTCCGCTGACGCAGCCCCTGCTCCTGACCCAGGCCCACACACCCCAGCAGGCGCATCTGACGACTCTGTACCTGCCGTGAGGGAAGCACAACATTAATTGCCCCCACACACCCTTTTTCTCCCTCTCTACTCCCACAGATATTGTGTATCTAGACAGTTGTCTCCAGCGGCCGGCTCATCCACGCCATCGCCGTTGTCTCACATGAGGCATGCGCCGCCCGTTCTGCCTCACATGTGCTATGCAACCCTGCAGACAACAAGTCTCCTACACCGCCTGGAGGGAAGGGGGAGTATTGTAGTGGATTTCTCCCCTCCAAACGCTGTTTGTCGCTGCGTAGCCGACCCCACGAATTCCACCGTGTGTGCCTCGTGGTCTAGGTCAACCAGCGCCGCTACAAATCACGGAGCGGGGGTCAACTATTAAGCCACGCCTACCCCCCGCTATTTAAGACCTGACCTCGTGGTGACCTGTCTCTTTCTACCAACACCAACCAGCTAGCAACACCTCCGCCTGCCTGGCGGTCCTTGCTCCCGCCGGAGAGCATGGCGACCCACAAGCTGGTCCTCCTCTGAGCATCCTCACCAACCAGCTCTCTCTACATCACGCTTGTAACCATGCTGCCTTCCCAGCACCAAGCTGCATTGTACATCCAATACAACATGTATATAGAGAGCACATTGTGAGTTTCCTTTCTCCATCCCATCCTGAGTGTGAACCAAACATCCCAAAAACCCCACAAGCTTCTAGACATGTGAGTTACAATAGTTATTTTCTGAGAACCAGTGGGTAGAAGGAATAGAGCGGTGATACTCGTTATTTACTAATTTAATATTTATTAACATAAGGAGTGAATAAGATGTTAATTAAGTTCACTCAGACAAGACTGGTCCACTTAAGTCTTACTTTACCATTCATAAAATATATCTTCAATTACTTATTACATCATTAAACATCTGTTGTATTATTTCTTTGACAAATAAGATGGTTATTTTACACGTTCAGATAGGACTGGACCCTTCCTCAGGTCTTACTTTTACAAGTAACAAATTAAATCTTCAATTCTTGGTTACAACATTAAACAAGCATTATATTATTTCAATGCCAATACAGATGGTTACATGACAAACTTGACAATATCCCGAATTAAAATATTATCTATAGCAACATGCTATTTCGGAATGAATAACATGGCACTTTTCCTTTAGTTGATGTACTCGACTCACGTACATATTTACTCTGATACTATAAACTTTTATGGGTTCACTCCTCAACCTGGGGTAACTATATTTCTGCTAATTATCCCCAATAATAAACAACAATAATACTAGATAGGACTCAGCTGGTAGGCCATATGGAGGATGCACTCCCAACAGCCCTGATAACACGGTATTACTGGTAATACCAATACTGCTCGGTACATATAACGAAGATCAATGAACCAGACAATACTGAGCCCACTGGGCGCTGCGAGGGTAGTTTACTACACACAGCCGAGGCTCGCTCGCTAGTAACGCCAGGGGTAGACTCGCTGTAGTATCATAGCACGGTCTTCCCTGGTTGTTCCCGTCCTCAGATTCTAGTATTGCCATATTAAAGACATCCTTCCACGACCATCTTGCCCATAGGCGGCTACCGAACCTTGGTAGTGGTGGCAACATAGACAGTGCCTGAGATAATGATGGAGAAGCGTCAGAGATGTGAATAATAACTCAATCACAAACAATCTTTCGTTTAGCAACGACAGACGATATTTACGTTACATTAATTCTTTCACTGGGTAAATGACAATTTCACTGTTACAGCATGAACACTGATATTCACAAAATTCACCGAGTTAAACTGTCTTAAAATGGCGGGCGGAGAATCGTACACATTCCGGAGATAATGATGGAGAAGCGTCAGAGATGTGACGCTCCCCCGTGCACGAGCTTATATATGGCTAACTGGCAACTTAGGCCTGTGTGGAACACGTGCCAGAAAGGCTAATCCTGCAATGACAGAAATTACATTTAACTCAGTTGCTGTACAATTAAGTATGACACTTAATGCCACTTTTAGTTTTCTTTTATCCTCTTCACCAAAAGATTGGCTCGTTAGCCACTTGGACAATCGGTCATGTCTCTGTTACTCACTATTGGCAAGTACTGAGCATGCACCGGCTCCTGAATGTACCTGAACCCACTCCAGCGATGGTCAAGTCTTGTCTTGAAAGAGCTCACACTCGGTGCCGTCACAACACTTTCTGGTAGATTGTTCCAAGAGTTCACAACTCTCACTCCAGGTCAGGCGAATTTCCTACGTCTATTCATATAATCTAATCAGAGATTGAGCTTGCCAGGAAAAAGTGGAATTACACACGTTACCGTTAATATTGTGTGCTGAACATCATGAGCATTTCAATGATGGTAGCATTTGTAACTATATAATTATATTGTGTTATAAGACAACACATTCCACGACGTGTCATACAGATTATTGTACGTATACCACACAATACATAATTTGTGGCTGTTAAGTTACTTTGTTATGAATTTTCATGTGATATAGTTTAAGACATCATTAAGGACATGGATTTAAGATAACACTGTAGGTGAGTTAATATATATTAAATGTATTTACAAACAATACTAAAATCCAAACAATACACCAATACATACATCTTAGTATTTGGTCCAGCCACCCATTGTATTCAGGACTTCATCAAGGCGATTAGGGATGGAGTCGACCAGCTTCAGGCACACCCCTGGTCATCGACGTATACTCTCCCACAAGCCGTAAGCTTTGGCCTCTATTGCTGCACAGGTTCGCTGCTCCCCAATATCCCAATCACGTTTCATCATGGCCCAAATATGTTCAATCAGATTAATATCACATCCTAGTGTTGGCGAGTCGATGACCTCAATTTCAGGGTGATCCTGGAGGTAGTCCTTCACTATGTTGCTGGTATGAATGGGACTGTTGTCATGAACCAGCCTGATAGTGTGGGGGGCTAGAACTGCCATAGGAATTAGCACTTGCTCCAGGATGTCTACATACTGCTCACCAGTGAAACAGCCATTGATCTTGACCAGTTCACCTGGCCCATGTGCCCACATCCTCCCCCAGAATGACACTGACACCCTACCACTCACTGCACGATGTTGAATGTGTTTCTCATGGTAGCATGTGTTGGGGGGCCGCCAGCACTGCCTTGCTTCGGCTCCCACTGACCTGAACACCGTTTCATCGGTAAATATAATGGTTCTCCAGTATTCTTGTCTATGTGGAAAGTGTTCCAATGCAAAGCCGAGTCGACACTCCTTGTGAGTAGGTGTTAGCCACCCTTTGTGAGCTGGAATATGGCAGTCGATCCCGGCTTCATGAAGTCGGCGTCTCGTCGTCATGTGATGGCAGTTGAGGCCCAGATTTCTTGTATGCTCC